CCGATTATTATCTACATCAATTTTTGCAATTATTTAATACGTTTAGTGTTCAAAATTTTAGTATTATTCCTAATTGATTGACGTGATAAAATCTGATCAGATAAAATATTATTTAATTTGTTCAATTTTGTTACAATGATCATGGTTTTTTTCCATTAAGTAATTAAAATAATATAAATAAATCCAGCGTTATTCATTTGTGATCATTTATGAATTATTCTTCTTTTTTGTTCTATGCTTGCATTAATGAAGATAGTTTTAAAAATTTCTTAAACATTGAATATAAATTTTTGACCTATTGATTTCAATTGTATTCAAAAGTTCGTATATTTTTCATCTTTTTTCATATAAAATGCTCATTTTTTATTATATTAAAATCACACATAATATTATATAGACAATAGTCTATTTTGCATTATTGAATTTTACATAACAATAAATAATTTATTTATAAAGAAGAAAATTATACAAATAAATTCTTCAAGATACTAACATAAAATCTTAAAAAATATTCTTTATATTTTAATAGAAGAAAATTAAATAAATTTTTAATTTAGTTAAAAACATAATTAACAACATTATTATAAGTGAACATTAATAGTCATGGATTAAAGAAATAGAAAGCAGTACTATAATATTGAACAATGAACGTGTTAAAATCGTTCATTTATAATGAAATGAATTATCGATAATTAAAATTTTTTAATTAATAATTTAATTTATTTGTTTTAGGGCCCCCTTAGTACCTGTCATCTCGTTTGGAGAAACAGATATATACGATCAATATTATTGGCCAGAGGGCACATTGATGAGAAGAATACAGCATTATGTTCGTAAAAAGATCGGATTGGCGCCAGTGTTTTTGAAGGGTCGAGGATTCTTCCAATATTCTTTTGGCATTATCCCGCGACGGAAACCAGTCACGGTTGTCGGTAAGTTTTTTAGTCAGACATAATACTCAATATTAATTATAATTAGAATTAATCCATTTTCAAAATAATAATTAATATCTTTCTCGAACGTTAATTTTTATTACAAAAAAAGGAATTTTACATTAATTTTTATATTGTAGCAAATTCGTAGCATTAAAAATTTTCTTAATAATATTTATTTATAATTTAATACTTATTTTCTTAATAATTATTTTTTAATAATATTTCAGAAGAAATAATACTTAATAAAAAATACCTACAAATATATTTAATAATATTTTTTTATATTTTTTTAATAACACTTTCTAAATTTCTCTCTCTTGTCAGTCGGTAGTCCATTGGAATTGCCAAAGATAGAGGAACCTACGACAGAACAGATCGACGAATACCACGAGAAATTTGTCAATCATCTGGTGGAGTTGTTCGAAAGTCAGAAGCACAATTATATGAAGAATGCGGATTCGGTGAAGCTTGAGTTTCTATAGTGATAACAAACACGAGATACTATAAATATTTTTTAATGAATCCTCATAGTGGTTATCCGAAGGACGAAGGAATCACTTTTAAAGTTCAAACAAATCATGCTTTGCGTGATTTTAGATATACAAGTGCCGAGTAGACATAGAAGGATATACTTAATTGGGCGACAGGTTTTTAGTCAATTAGATTGATTAGCTTAAGAATTTTCCATAGAAAAGAACCAATAGAGTTAAGATAGAAGAGTAATTATATTGAAAGAATATTTATATACCTTGGCCGATGTTCGAGAAGAATAAGAGAAAGGTGAAGGCCTTAAACGAGATTTGCTCAAATTGTGCAAACAATTAATCGATCTTCAATCATAGCGAAAATTGTAAATTTCTAGCTATTTTAGTTAATTTCTAGGGAATTTTTCTTGAGGGAAAAAAATTATAAAATTAGTCAACAATTAGTTTTATTGTAAAATCGATATACGCACATTTAACATATTTACGTTGGTTGTGCACTTTGTATAATAATAATCTATATTAAAATTTAATACAAAATACTTTTCTTTGCGGATACTTCGATGAAAGACGCCATTAATATAGCTATGATTAAGAATATCGTGCACCAAGCGGTTCTGCGTAATACCTGTAAAAAAATAATTGTTCGAGTACATTTTGAATAATTCTTATTCGATTGTTGATTTTCTTCATAATGTTTCGACCCACCTTATCCTGCCACTGCTTGTTCGCGATGCAATCGCGAAACCTCATTCTCGAGAAGTGTATTGTACTGTAGAGAGGTATCCACGTTTTTGGAATTCGTTTATAAAGAAACGTGTCTATATATTTTCGAAAGAGGAAAGATTTCTTCCTCACCAAATCTCTCATCTGGAAAATTTTATGTTAAGTTTGTTAGTAGTAATAGTATTATATTGATAATATTTAAAATTTATGAAAAAATTTATTTTTATATCTGTATTTTTAAAAATGAAATGATTATTTGAAAATTTTTCCCAAAATTCTTTGCGTGAATTATAACATTTTATATTTTTTTTTCAATTTTTAATGTTATAATAATCATTAATTTTTATTTAATTCTAACTTCGATAAAGATTTAATAAAAGATTAATAAAATTACCTCGACGTAATTGTACATAGCAAGGTCACAAATGGCATGTGCATCTTCGCATCTTAATTCCGAGAATTTTGGAAGAATTTTGCTGAAATCCGAGTTATAACGTTCCATTAACTCGTCCAGAAGTAAAACATCCTCGAAACCCTGATATATGATAAAATGAATTACAAAAATAACTGTGGAATCGAAAATAATTATGGACATCTAAATTGTACAGGAGATAATCGTGAAAGGTAATTTTCTGACGAGCAAGAAGACGTGAAATCGTTCAATCGATCGAGTGAAACTTACCGTGTTCATTCCTTGGGCATAGAAAGGCACCATAGCGTGAGCAGCATCCCCAAGAAGAAGAGTGGTTTTTCCAACATGATAAGGTTTGCACTATAAATGTTTATAAGAAATAAGAAAATAATTTAATCATGAATTAAAATTTAATAATTATTTTTATTACTTATTATTTATCATTATTTTTATTTGAAAATTTTTTAATTTCTATTAACTATCATATAAATTTTTCATATTCAAACTAGTATTTATCTGTAAATTAATAGAACTTTATAATTCAGTAATTTTATTTTTTTTCCAAAATAATTTTAAAAAAAATTCCTCTTCATCAATTAATAATAAATATAATATTTTTATAAAATTTTAATACAATAAAATAAATGTTAAATAAATAAACATTTTAAAGAAATTTAATTAAAAGAACTTAAAAAAAACTTCAGAATTTATAATTGGGTTTTTTTTCGAAGTAGTCTTCTTCAATCATTTCCTTTCTCTTTGTTAATTAATAGTAAAACATGATCTAAACATTTTAATAGAATTTAATAGAATTTTGATGATATTAGTTTACAAAAGTAATTCAAAATTAATATGTTTAATTTTTTAAAATAATTTAATTATTTCTTTTTTGTTAAATAATAATAAATAATAATAATAAAACTTTTAAAATAAAGGATTCCAATTAACTGGCTCAAACGAAACAACAAACATCCCGGATAATCGAAAAGAAATAATTAGAAATACATTTTTTTATATATTTATATTTATATTTTCTTTTATAACTCATTTTTATATTTTGAACATTCGCTTACAATTGAATTGTAATTATTTAATATACAATTTGTATATCAATTATATGTTTGTCTATCAGTTTTAAAAAATATTGAATAAATGAAGAAAAATATTAATTATAAAAACAGAAAGGAGTTTTGATATTATATAATAAAAGGATCCAGAATAATCAAAATTTTAGATAAAGATCTTGAATGATTGAGATAAATTTTATAAACAATTTGATTAGTCGAGAATTCGTTGTAAGTGAAATTTTTTCTTAAATATTTTTCAATTATATTTTATCCACCGATCAATAAAAATTTTGATTAAAATTACCTTGATAGAAATCAGAGGTTTTGGTTCCCTTTCGAAATAATCTTTAACCAACTTCTGCCTTCCAATTAATTCCACTAGATCAGGAAAATATTCTTCACAGAAACTCAAAAGATCCTGAGGTGTTTTTAGCTTGTCCAAAGTTAAGAAAGGGGCGAATAAATTAACAGTAAAAGTACAGTTGTCGTTGGGCAAAGCTATCATCATGAATTCTCCTCGTGGCCAAATATGAAGATGCTTGTTACTCATCATAAACTTGAAATCCAATAGATTTCAATATTTTAAAAAATGTTTATTTTATTTTAAGATTTTGATATGCAAAATATTTCTAGAGATCAAAACAAACATAAAAAATAATAAAAAAATATCAGTTGAGACTTATTATTTATTATATTAAATTTTAATTAAATATTAAAATTCGTATTAGATAAAGCAAGATAAAAATAGCAATGTAAGAGACAGAAAAGTTTCTATCTCGCTTCATCTAACAAGAATTATAGAATTATTATTAATTATAGAATTTATATCTTATATATGTGTGGTTTATATATATCAATGAATAAACAGAAATCAATTTTTATCACTGATAGATTTAAAAATAATCTCATACAAAAATAAAAGATAAAAATAATCCCTACGAAATTCTAATCAATCGAATACTATTTTGTTTCTTTAATTAATCATAACTGAGATTGATATCTATAAAATTTATCAGATTAAAAGGAAAAAGAATTAATAGAATAGACATTTAAATGGAAATTTAAAAATAAGTATTATTTATCGTATTATTTTTAAAAATTTTTAAAAATTGACCAATTTACTGATTAATTCCTCCTCAAAAATTTCAATGAGCTTAAAATATATTGTAAAAAGTCTCTTTTCTTTATATATAACTAATAATTGACTTTAATTATTCACAAGAAACTTATTAATTTATTGAATTTTGTCTATATATTAATATATGATTAAAAGTGATTGGCAATTATATAATAAGTAAGCTCAAAACTCTCCTTCTTTATAAATTTGAACGAAGTTTTTTTTTAAAATTTCTTTTCTAATGTATGTAATGTAATATAATGAGAATTACAATTAAATTTACTTTAACTGTAATTTTTTTTTTCTCTCTCTTTCAAAAAAGAGAATGTCTTACTATAGATATACATATATAATGATATTTATTACTATGTTTGTACAAATAGATGAAAATTCAATACAATAATATCGAAGTTTATATATAATTTAAAAACTATATATAATAATTTAATAACTAATAATTTAAAAACTAAGGCAATATGCAAAGAAAAGAATTATTCAAAATATTGTTCTTACAACATTCATTAAAATTATGAGAAAACTAATTTTCGTCTAAAACTTTTAAGGTTAAAGAAAGACTTTTACCTCATTATTTTTTCCAGAAGGGACGAATAATTCAAGATAACCATGTTCAATATAAGTTTGACTACAGTTGAACCGCGGTTTCTTCGCCATTGTTCTTCTGATGATCGAGTAAGCACCATCGGCTCCTATTATCAAATCAGCTTCCGCTTTCTCTATCTTTCGAGTTCTCGTGCTGAAAAATTCAACGAACGTTATACGAAATTATATGAAGATATAATATTTTTCGAATTGTTTTAATTCTTACTCCAATATCGTCAGCTTTCCATCGTCTAAATCCGCATCCACGACTTTTTTGTTGAAATGGAGACTTACTTCGGAATATTTCTCGGCAGCTGTATTTTCGATACAAAATCCCCGAAAAACGAAAAAAGTAATTTAAGATAAGTGTAACATTTTCTTTTTACTTTTGATCCTTTGTCATATGAAATCAAAAAATAAATAAATAAATTATGAAACTTTTTGGAAAAAAAATTTACAAGTGTAAATCATTATTTAATGTCTATTTTTTCCATTTTTTAAATTACATTAAAATTACATTAAAAATCGACAAAAAGAAGACAAAAACTTTTTAACCATAAAAGACCTATTAAAAATTCGTCAAAGACAAGAAAAGGAATTAAAACTAATTGATATTTGAATTATCTCATTTTTACTACTACTATATTTAAATTAAATTTTAAATTAATTTTGCAATCAAAGTATATTCAACTTTAAATTATCAATAGCAATTATTATATTCGGCACATATTTTATTTAATAAATAAAAGTCTGAAAAAATTTATATAACATTTTCAAACATTCTACATTGATTATAGAAATTAGAATAAAAAATTTAAGCAATAATTTGTTTCAATCTTTTCAAAAATAGAATTAAAAATGCCTTTTTCCATATAATTATTTCTTAAATTAAAAGAAAAATTCTTTATTAACCATTTTCTATATTACTTTTTTAATAAGATCAATCTAATAATGAAATGTATCTAATGCCTCCAGGATTGAATTGAAACTTAATAAATCCTTCGAAAACGCTTGTGTGTACGCATCAGTTTATAACAAAAGTTTCATGCGCAAATAGATGTATATCGGATTAAAATGGCACCAAAGTATACGAGTACATAGAAGATCGTAAGAAGCATAAGCTAGCGGTAGAAAGAAATACGACACGCTCGAATTCTTGTGGCTTCACGCACTACTGTGTCATCGGATATTCAGTGGCCATTTTTTTATTCTTTAGCATAAAAGGATCTCGAATATGTTCAATTTTCAATTTTATCGAGATAATTTAATGTAAAATTTTTTGATTCCTCTCAATGAGAAATAGTATGATTTAATAAAAAAAGATTTATTAGATCTCTTCTTTAAAAAGATTCTTCAACTAATTTATTTGTTAATTAATAATTGGTACTATGATAAATATTGAAAAATTATACATATTTAATTTATTTTCACTATAAGTGAATAAAAATAAAATTAGAGTATATGTAAATTATTTTATCGTTATCAGATAAACTGTAATTTCTGAGATAAAACAATGGAAAGACTAAAATATGAGAGAAAAAATTCTAATAACATTATTAGAGTAGGAGTAATTTTACTCACCATTTAGTAGAACAATGTTTAGATATCGTCTGGTAACTGAATAAATGCACTGTAAAAATGAGAATGAAAGTAGCAAAAAAACTTCGTATTTTTTACTCAATTTTCTTTTGGATTCAAGAAAGAAAAAAAAAGAAATCGAAATATTGTAAAACACTCACGTTTTGATTCACACCATCGTAAAGTATTTCTTTGAGCGATCCATTCTTATTGTGTATCATTCTACCACGCATAGCAATACCATGATGATCGACCACAACCTCCTCAAGGCCAACTGCCCTTAAAGCTTCCCGCCCTCTAACTGACAGAGCCAAATCAATGCTCTGACCCCAACAATCCTCTGTTCTGATATCTGAAACGAATGTGACCACGGAATTTTTATATTCATATTACATAAAAATTTTTACGTATTTTATGCTTCTTGCAAACTCTTTTATTTTGTGTATTTCTTCAAAAAAATAAAAATAAAATAGATATTTGAAATACCTCTTTCATCCTTAAAAGTGTGTAAAAAACACATAAAAAAAAAATTTCAATTTCAAATTTTTAAGTCATCTGAATTAGAATTTAATAAAAATTCAATATAAAATAAAATAATAGATATTGATTATTACGTTAAAAAATTGAATAAACAAATAAAAAGAAAATGATTGAATTAATTCTCCAATCGAAAAATTCACCTGGACGATATTCGTAAATAGACACGGAATGACCCCTTTTCGCAAAAAAACAAGCTGCCAGAGAACCGACCTAAAAAAATCGAAACTTCACTATTTTTAATAATCTTTGAAATCTTGATTCGATATTGTTTGATTTAAAGTTCTTTTAACAAATTTTAAAATCATCTCGTTTCATGAAAAATTATCGAAACACGCACCAAACCACCCCCTACTATAACGATTCGCGACTTTCGATCAGTGACCGTCATGGTATACCGTCCTGCACCGAAGCCGCTGATCAACTACCTGTCTTAGCATAATCGTGCAAGCATACATATTTACTATATATACATACTGAGCGAGTCATTTAACATTGGATCTTAAAATATCACTGTCAATTTTTTAATAATCTGAAAATTTTTCGAAGATATTGATCGCCTAAATAAAATACGAAGAAATCGAAGATGCAAATGATGCAAAGATCGATCAATTTATTTGCGTGTTAGGATTACAATTTGTTCGAAGAATACGATTTTGTTTGTAATAGATAACAGATATTAAATTTACGAAATTTATTTATAATACTTATAACGAATCAATCTTAATGATTAATGATTATAAATGTTGATAATAATGATAAAATGTTGAATTTAATTTTTCTTTTTTCTTTATTCTTTTTTTAAAAATGAAGTGGAATTAAAGAAGAAATTTCATAATTTATAAAGACAGAGATAATTGTAAAATTGTGGAATTATAAAAATTTCGATATTATTGCAATGATTTGAGAGAGATAGAAGAGATAGAAGAGAGATTAAATCAAAGCTCTTTGTATCTCTTTGCGTTTTTTTTTTCAATATTAATTATTATCGATATATTATTATTTGGTATAAAATGCGATATCAAATCAATTATTTTTCACGTGAAAGATATTATATATATAAAAGCTGGATTATCGGATATACTAATAAGTAATATTTTCATAACTTACATAATAGCAATCAACACATTCAAGAATATATATTTTATTTATTATTTTACAAACTGAAAGATAATGTAATTTGAAAAGTCATTCAGCATACATATAATATAATTTGTAATAGAGTTGATAGAAATTATTTTTCAATATAATTTGATAATATTTATATATCTAAATTTCATAATTAAACATGTCTAATTATTTGATTTGTTCAATTTTATATGATTAGTATTTTAAAGAAAAGAATTTTTAGAAATTCTGAAGAAAAAAAGCGAATAGCTGATTAATAATTATTAATCTGTCTTTGAAAAAACATTATTTGAATATGGAAAATATATATATAATGGAAGACCAATAAAAAGAAAAATAAATTGATCAATTCATAAAACCAATCTTTTCATAATTAAGAAATCTAACGTAAAGTTTTGAATACAATAGAGTAAATAATTTTTAATCAATAAAGAAATTGTAAGTAAAGGATTTATCTAATCATTAGATATGCAAAATAATTTAGCAATTTTTCCAAATGACAAACCAAAAACAATGGTTGAATTTAGAATAAGAATTTAAAATTTTTTTTACCCAATTATTTAACTGCTTCGAATGAACTATTAATAAGAGGATTCACATAAACTATGGAAATTAATCAATTATAAGTTAATAATATTCAAGGATATTTTAATATTTTATTAAAACTAAAATTGACAAATGATTAGTAATAATAGTGTTAGTTAATAAAGAAATGAGATTTTCAAAGTGATTTTAAATTCTTTTAAAAATTCTGTGATATTTGAATAGAGGTATTAATAAGATTCACATATATAAGACCAATGGAAATCAGTGTAAATAATATTTCAGAGATTGAGATTTAAAAAATCTCATCAATGACAGAAATGATGATTCAATTCAAAAAAAGAAAATTGGTATCTATAACAATGTTCAAGTGAGAAAAAAAATTAAGTAGATTATAAAGATATGGTTAATTTTAATAAAGAGTGAATTGATATTGCTAAACACATAATTACTGATGGAAGTAAAAATTCATAAGTTTTTTTAAAAATATTGAATCTCAAAATATTTTAGAAATTAGATTTATTACTTACTCATTTTAAAAAATTATATTTAATGAATGATATAAAATATTATTTTTCTAAAGATTTAGCTTTTAGAATTTTATAACTTTTAATTATATTATTATTTATGTAATATTATTCGAAGATCATATTAACATGACTAAATTCAAACACTGTTTACAATGAAAACTGGTTTATTTAATTTCATGCAAGTATTCACTCACTTTTACTCATATATACAAATGCACGAGGCATCTAAAACAAGCTACTTGAATATCTTGGCTGTATTAATGATAAAAGAAAAATGTGTCAGATCAAACTTACATGATTGAGAGATACATAATTTGATATATATATATATATATCGATTTTTAATAGGTAAACGCATAAAGATCATTTTTTTTAAATTATGCAAAGAAATATATTATTGCAAAAAAAATTCGAAGTTAAAAAATCGAAATTGATCTTCATATGATTTTTATTCTTCCATGTAATTAAAATTATTTAAAAATTATTTGTTTCTCTTTATCAAATTATGTATTTCTTGACACTATACATGTTTAATTTGATACATTTTTTTCTATCATCAAGTCGAAATATTTACATATTAATATTAAAATATTTAAATTAAAAATTATAAAATTCTTAAAAATTTCAAAGCTCTCATAAATAGTTTCATTAGATCACAATAATTTCATTATATCACAATTAATGTTAAATGGATACAAAAATATACTTAATAATTTCTTCAAAAATTAATATTTCGTTGATAAATCTTCAACTATAAATGATCATAAATGTTTATTTTATGTTTGATATACTTATATTTTAAAATCATACTCCATGAATTATTTAAATTTTTATTTTCAGTAATCATCATAGAACATAAAAGGAATCAAAAATCAATTAATTTATCTACAAAATTTCTAATGGAAAAATAGCATCTTCAAAAATATATCGAAAGAAGAAAATCGTTGTTATCGCTGAATCTCTTAATGCAGAAGGACACAAAGATCCAGCAGAAATTGTCTCACTATAAATAGTCAAGGATTTATATTTTAGATCACATTCCATTAATCATCTAAATTTTCATCTTCACTAATCAAAAGATTTAAGGCAAGAAGAGAGATAAATCACAGCAGAAACTTCCAACGCATGAAGAATTAAGAATCCACTAAAAATTCTCTCAACGAGAAGAAAAGAAGCTATTCATCAAAAAAAGATTCAAGCAAAGAATAGATCAACTATTTATAAATACTCTATAATCTCCAATAAAAACAAACTATCAAACATAAGAAGAAAAAGCTCTCTCCATCAGCAAATAGAAAATCCATCTATATCATGATTCCCTCATTACAAAAAGAAAGAAAAACTTCAAAAATTATAAATACTCCAAGTTGCCAATAAAAACAAAAACCATGCAAGTTCACCAGATGCAAGAAGGAAATCTCTCACTGGTCCCCAGCAGACCAATCGAAAACTTCTGTTCGATCACGATTCTCTCACTACAAAAACAAAGAAGAAGCTCAACAAACCATCGCAAATAGTACCAATAAAAATACAAATCATGCAAGATTTTACCAAACATCAGAAGAAGGAAAATTCTCATAATTTCATTCAGATCTCCAACCAGATCCTCCTGTTCCTTCCTGATTCTCTTTTACAAAAAGAAACAAAAATCTCGAAAAATGCAGCTAGCAACTAAATTACTCCAAACCGCCAACGAAAACGTGAACCAATCATGCAAGTTCATCATCCAACCAGATCCTTCCATGATTCTCTCATGCAAGTTCACCATCCAACCAGATCCTCCCATGATTCTCTCATTACAAAAAAAGAATAACAAGAATCTCAAAAAATATGGATAGCAACTAAATACTCCAAATTGTCAATTGAGAAACCAAAACCATTCAAGTTCATCATTGGATACAAAGAAGGAAAGCTATGCTTTCCACGTCGAGGTGTTCGCTTCCTCCTGTTCGCTCTCGTCAGGGGATGGCGCGAGGAAGCTGAGAACGGCGGCGACGATGCCGTGGCGTGGCCGTCGTCGTC